ATATATATATATAGATATATATATATATATATATAGAGAGAGAGAGAGAGGGATGCTGAGAAAGTTAAGGAGTTACTGGTAATTACTTGCACTCTAATAGAGAGAGAGAGATTTTCCAGTTTTATCTTACGAGTCTTCTTATCCAAAGGGATCTATTTGATTTATCTATAAATTTTTTGAATGAGGCTAATTACAGGTATAGATCCTTTTATGGCAGTTTCATATGAGAGCGACTTTTTTAAATTCAAACTCAGACGTGGAACTGGGCGGGGCCAGAGCCCATGTCAGCAGGTCTGACATGGCCAAGTCTCAACAGGACTCAGTTGGGTTTTAAAATAGTACAGTGACCTTGGGAACCTGTGCGACTTGCCAGTTCCCGAGGTTTGTTAACGAGACCTGGCACCCTTTCTAGGCCTGAGTAACTTGGGTGAATCCAGTTTGGACTCAACAAGTTTGAAAGCACTGCATATGAGAGAGAGAGAGAGAGAGAGAGAGAGAGAGAGAGAGCTCCACAACCATCTTACGCCTTGAGATAGAACTCCACCTGACCATCGGACCCTTAAATCAGATGAAAGGGATCACAGTGGCAATGGTGGGGGATGGCATAAACGATTCGCCAGCGCTAGCAGCAGCCGACGTGGGGATGGCAATTGGTGCCGGCACCGACGTGGCAATTGACGCAGCCGATGTCGTCCTCATGAAGAGCAGCCTAGAGGATGTCATAACAGCCATTGATCTCTCGAGGCGCACTCTCTCTAGAATTCGACAAAATTATGTATGGGCCCTCGGCTACAATGTTCTTGGTATGCCCATTGCAGCAGGGATATTGTTCCCTTTCACAGGGATCCGGCTTCCCCCATGGCTTGCTGGTGCATGCATGGCTGCCTCATCTCTAAGTGTTGTGTGCTCCTCTCTTTTGCTACAATCATATAAGAAGCCCCTCAACTTCCATGAAGACCATGACCTCTCACGCTATTCTAGCTCAGTTTGAGCGGGGTGGGTTTCATATGTACATTAATGTTGGTACTTGCTTCAAATTGCTGTTGTAGAACTAGTTTGCTCATTGTTTGAAGCAGAAAGCAAGCTTCATTTCCATTTGTTTGATGAAGAAAGCAAGCTTCTTTTCCATTTCCATATTTTTTTTCTTGTTTGAGCATTTTAGAGTCGATATTTGGTGCCACCCACCACACATAGAAATTCAATGTTTTGCTTTGTGGAATGAAGAGATGCTCCTTTCCACTTTAGTTAGTGCTTTATGAGCGAGCTTGCCTTCCTTGGTGGGCATAAATTATGATTCACACTTATGGAACCAGCCATGTGAAAGATCAAGTGTAGTTTGATCTTTCTACATGTGTTAAATGTCCCTTTGATTTGCTCAGGGTTATCATCCATTGAGATGTTAAAAATTGATACTTCAGTTGAAAATGGATTGTTAGTAGGTTTCAGGTGGAAAAACTATGACCGTCGGGAAAATTATTTCAAGATTTTTGGCTTGAGGTCTAGCTCTAAGGCATCCTTGGAAATGCCAACAAACAATTTGTGACTGTTGACATCTGAGGGGAGATTGACATGAAAGCCTGATCAGTATCTATTTTAGCAGATGAAGTTAGTGAAAATACTGCAATACTTCTCTGCCTGTGCATCACCACTCAGTCAGTCTTCTTCTTTCTTCCACAAAGGGCAGAGAAAGGGAAGAGAAAATTAGACATCATGCTCTTAAATGTCAGAGCGTAATATTCTATTACCCTTCTAATTAGGTCTGAACGATTTTATTTATTGTATATACCTTGGCTATAATTAAATGAAGGATGCAGTTTCTATAAGGCCTAGGCCTTAATGGAAGAAAAAAGAGAGAGCAAAGCCTAACATTGAAACCTAGGAAAACACTTTGGGCATTAGAAATCTCTATTTTGGATCTAAAATGAATTTCCACCACTAATTATGTAATTTAAAGCTCAAAAAAATGGTACAGATCTTGTGGATTTGTAAATACTTAGAAAATAAAAAGTTTAAATAATGTGCCCCAACATACGTTATTTTTAGGGTTTGAAATCTTTTGTAAGTACCATAATGGTCAAGGCCAAGATGATCTATTTGAAGGTTTTTTAACGCTCTATGTGCAATTTTTTAGTAAGTTTTGCGGTGAGGCTTTACTTTTTTCACATAAAGCCTAGACGTTTTTTAACTTTTTCCATAATTAAAATAACCTCGGTATTTCATTTCCATAATGAGAAAGAAACAAACACTATGTAGAAGTTACTACTAAGTGGTTGGACTCTGAATTATGGGCTACGGGGATCTTTAAACCCATATAGGGATCTTTAAACCAAAACAAGTTTGTAAATTTATTCTTCAGCCGACCCCAATTAGTTGGGAAAAAGGTTCGACAATGATGATGAAACTTAATCTTCAGTATAAACTTAATCTAAACCATGGCGGAAGCTCATTTTCGAGCCCGAACACTGAAAGCTTGTTGTCCCACTGATTAGGAAAGAGATTCCTAACTAATTGTGAGCCAAGAAAGTCTAAACTTTGCACGACGGAACATAAATCGAGATTTCTCAGTTAACTGCAGCAAAAGATTGCATTTGGCTTCCAGGATTCATGAACTCCACGAATCTGCAACCACCTTCTGTAGAAGAATGCTCTGGGGCCATCTGACGGATTGAGAACCCATTTCACCCTCCATTCCCTAATTTCTAAGGTTCAAGAAAATGAGTAGGTGGGGTTAGGAAATCATGACTCTGGTTAATAGGGCTGAGAATCCGAAACCCGAATTTTGGATCTTATTTGGATTAGGGTATAGATCCAAGATTTGGATTTGACAATTGGATCCGGATCTGAAATATGGATCCGAATAGTAATTTGGATGGTTCAAGAAAATGAGTAGGTGGATTAGTAAACCACGACTCTGGTGAATAAGGGTTGGGAATTTACCCTGTTTGGATCCTATCTTGTTCTGGGTATGGATCCAAGGTTTGTATCCAATAGTCGGATCTGGATCTGAAATTTAGATCCGAGCCATGACTATGGTGAATAGGGGTTGAGAATTGCCCGGTTTGGATCCGAAACCAGAATTTTAGATCCTATCTTGATCTGGGATAGATCCAAGAATCCAATGGTCGGGTCCTGATCTGAAATTTAGATACGAACAGTAATTTGGATCGGATCTAGTTACAAGTGGTTCCGACCTAGTTATTAATATATTATATATTATCTTATATACATATAGATTACATAGTATTTTTATTATATATTATTCATATTATTTTATAGATATAAATAATATATAAAATAAATTTTTGGATGCAATCGAGTCCAAATATGGATCCCATATATACTTTTCATATTCAAATCCAGATCTAAATATTTCGAATCCAATCAGATCTAGATGTGATCTAGATCCTATATATACTTTTTGGATTCGAATATGGATCCCGGTGGATCTGGACCCGATCCAACTTATTCTCAACCCTAAAAAAGCTCATTTTGGTCTTTCTAAATGTGCCTAGTGAATGTTAGATGCAAATATTGAATTTGAATGGCTAGAATCTGCCCCAACTTCCTGAAGATAAAAAACATTGATCCAAACACACTTCTATTTTGATTATAAGAATAATCCATGATTCCTCACTATTTGAAAACGAAGTTCCCAAACTTCATTTAAGTATGTCAATTCTATTAAAAAACAAAGAAATTGTTTAATAAATTGTTGTATTGCCGTTAAAAGTCACATTTTCCCATCTGTCAATTTTTAATAAACAACAAGAAAAAGATTTGTTCACAAGAACATTCACAAAGTCCCCTTCATTTTCACTATTCTCAACATTATCCAAATATTCCACTAACCCATCATCTTCATTGACCTCAAACTCAACCCAAATACTTTATTGAGCCATCCTGGGGATCTCTAAACTCGGTGGTTCTATACAAAAGCTTACAAAGGGGCTCAAAAAATGCTTTACATCCAAAATATAAACAAGCTATTAATATACAAAAAATAGGGGGCCATGTCCTAAAAAAAGTGCTAAAAAAAAATCCAAAACCAATATTTCTTTCATTTGCATAGTTTCCCATTCTTCCCTTTTCATCTTCCTCACTGCAAGTGTTTATAACACTGAACTCCTTAGAACCATCATTACTGCTCCCTTTAAAATGTTATTCCACTGGTTCATGTAGATTTTTCATAGGTGCCTGTTGTCATTCAAATGATTGGTCATACTTTAACACAAGCAAAAAAGATTGGTCAAACTTTAACACGAACAAAAAAACTAACGAATTCCAAAGCACTCATTACCTTGATAGAACTATCAATTTCTTCCACATTGGCACTATACTATAAGGAATGATCCTCAATGGTTGCCTCCATGGTTAAGAGGAAACCTTATAATTTTTTGGTGTCTCTTTTTGACTTAGCAGCATGGAATGAGAATGGCATAATGAAGTGCAATAAAAATATTTAAACTTTAGAGGCAAACTCAATCAATTCAATTACAAAAACATATATAGTTCGAAAGACTTATCATGTGTCATATTCTATACCACCACAATAATAACAGGTTCAATATAGAAAAAGAAAAAAAAAATCAACATCGAAGGGTATGGACGACTAGGACTTTATGAAAGTGATTGAATACATGCCACTAGATAATAAAGAGAACTAAAATTGACAATGAAGAAATATTAAAGAATGCAATTACATTCTAATTTGAGAGCAAAAACAAAAAAGAGTAGTATGTTCCATCATGTTATAAGTAAAAGGCATTGCTCATGAGAGGAAATAGACATAACAGGAGCATTAGTATATGCATCATATATTGTTTTTTGGAGTTAAAGTACACAAAACATGGCCAAGTTAGGAAAGGGATTCATACAAAATTAGAAGGTAAAAGAACGGAAGTTTGACGAGCAATAAGCCATGAAGTTTTCATGTAGGCATATGAACAACATAGCATATGACTTCAAGTGGGTGAAACCGTGCATTTTACATTAGGAACAGGTAGAATTTGTCAACAACAGACGACAAACCATCAGCTAATACTAGGCTCATAGAGCAACATGATCAATAGAGCGGATTATAGAAAACCGTTTGGAATGAAGTTCACCCAAAATAGCTAAAGAATGAAGAGGAGATTGTTGTTTTTCACAGTTTTCTTAAGAAACTAATCCTAAAATCTACACAAAACCAAAACATTACTTTTGGGTAGCCTCTTAGCTAAGTGGTTCAGGCATACGGGGCAAGAACTATAGTCCAAGTTTTAAATTCAAAACTACGCCCAAATTAAAATAAATAACTTATTCGGAAATTATAGACTAACTGAATAAAACAAAGACAATTCAATCATTCTGATTGATTATCGGGACAGAGAGAAATGTTAGTGTTTAAATCATTTTAAAATTACCTTAAAATTTTCGAAGAACGTATACAATCGTTGGGGTTCTCGAGTGTCAGGATAGAAATCCAGTCATAAACCAGCTTAAAAAAGAACATATATATAAAGAAAATTCTTAAAAATATGTCAACTCTTAAAAACCTAGAGAGAGACCATAAAACTAGAGAGTGGGAGCTAGAGAAAGAAAACAAAGAGGGGAACCTAAAGAGAGAAAGACGAAATTATAGGGAGAAAAATTGGAGAGAGGGGAACTTTGAGGGAATGCGGGAGAGAGGAATAACACTTGCCTGGTTAGATCAGAAGAGAGTGAGAGAAATAGGCCTTATTTATGTCCGGTGTTCCATTTGCTGGATAGTGTATGTATCACCCAAATGACGAGTTTGTGCCAAAAGAAACAAAAATAAATAAAAAAATGTGGCAAATCCTTAGTAATACCGGACTCGAGAGGCATTTCTAGAAAAACATTTTAAAGTTGGCTAGGGTGGTTTGTGTAATACCCCCATCTTATAATAAAGGGTGCGTTTTCTATGGAGCCTAGGATCTAAACAGTCAAAATAAAGCACACCTTCAAATAGTATTGAGAAATACACTTTCAATATTGAAAATCTTTGTGGTAGCTTTAAAATATATTTTCATATCTAATTATAAAATTTCAAGTTTAGAAAATACTGCAAATCGAGCAGATCTATGAAACTTGAAAATTGAAGGTCCAAACATACATTACAAGATGCACTATTTCCAAA